CTCCACAAGCCCAGGGAAGATCCCGTTTTTGCGAGAACTACGCTGAGAATTTTGTAACCACTGACGTTCATTAGGAGATATACCAGTACATGTTTTTAAGGCCCATAGTTTGACATTCGTTCGGTGATTTTTTTATAGAAGTAGGGGCATGACATAGTAGAGGTCATTCCTGTGGAATACTGGTAATATCGCCTGATATAAGAATCACACTCAATTAAAGAAGTATAACTGTGTGAAAACGTGGTTCGCTGCATGGATTTCTGCGCTGTTCGCAATTGCTCTAACAGCTGCCCTAGAAAATGAGACTTATCGCTATCGCAGGTGTTGTTAATGGTAAAATCATGGCCAATTTCGGGCGTGCGTAGATCAATAAACAGCTTAAGTAATTTGGTATCCTGATAAAAAGTGATAGCCTTTGGAGTACGAGAAAGCATCAGTGATTCAGGATAATAAGTGACTCGTTGACTGTTAAGATCATAATCAAAAGTTGAAATTTGCTGTGTATGAACTAGCTGAGTTGGTAGTAATAATAAAACGACAAGGAACAAAGTAAATCTAACTGGACTTTCCTTGGAATTCATCCAGAAGGCGTTGATCCAAAATATTCTCGGCTGGTTCCCAAGTCACGTCTGAAACAGGGTAGTTTGCCCATCGGATGAGGTACTGAACTTTGCCATTTCTTGTGCTGGATTGGAGAATCTTTTCGGCTGCAAAGACATCTGGTTCTTGAAAGACATCTGTAGAGTCAACGGGACTAGCGTTAGGATTCTCGTTAGCATCTTGTATGGGTTCAGCATTACTTGAGCTAGAGGGAGCAGAATCATCTGTAGAAAAACTATCAGCAGGTAGATAAGCAGCATCGAATGCAAGATCATCAGGATCGTCTACTGTTGGTGGTAAAATAGGGCGATCAGCAGCGTCATAAAAGTGCTTTAATCTGTTAGCGTGAACAGTTGTGGCCACTAAGCGGTTGTCACAAGTGCGAACTTGATAGTGCACAGGAGACAACTTACGGCAAATTCGAAAAGGACTGTTCCACTTTGATAACAGTTTCTTACTAAGGCCTCTTTTTACCTTTGGCATGTAAATCCATACCCATTGGCCGACTTCAAATGTTGCATCCACTGAATTCTTATCATACTGCAATTTCATTAGTTGTTGAGCTCTAGCGATATTTAAACGTGCAATGGACTGGGCAGTTTCTATTTGGCTCACTATGCGTGCGCGATGTTCGTTGACCGAAGCGGAAAGTTGAGTCGCTGGCAATAAGCTTACATCAGGTTGCAAATGAGGTTCGCGCCCATAAAGCAAATAAAATGGGCTGTCGCCAGTAGTAACGCTCGGTGAAGTGCGATAAGCAAAGTGGATTGCGGGGAGATAAACATCCCAGTCCTGTTGGTTTGAACTAAGAAACGACGAGATAGCTTCAGCTAAAGTGTTATTAAAACGCTCAACCAGACCATCTGTCTGCGAATGATAAGCAGTTGTGTTTACCTCTTTAGTGTTCAGCAATTTACAAACCTCAGAGACCAAAGATGAGAGAAAATTGCTTCCTCTGTCAGATAGACGAGTGCGTGGTGCACCTTGGCGGCAGAAAATTTCATCGACAAGAAGTCGTGCGATCACGGAAGCTTCTATTGACGGAACAAGGAAACACTCTACCCATTTTGTCAAGTACTCAGAAAACACAACAACATATCGGTTACCTGCTTTAGAAACCGGGAATGGACCAATTATGTCACAAGCGACGCGGTCAAAGGCATCCTGAACTGGAATCGGTAACAGGGGTGCCTTGTGCCGATTGCGAGAACTTTTCCTCATAGCGCAGTCACAACAACTGCGATAGCGATGACTAACATCAGAAAACATCTTTCGCCAATAGTAGTGAGTACGAAGTTTCTCTTAGGTCTTAACAGTACCGAAGTGTCCACTGGTAGGATTGTCATGAGCCCACATTAGTAGTTCATAGCGCAAGGTGGTTGGAATCACTAACTGTTGGTAAGTAGTGGAGCGACGGTGATCTTTTGGAAACCAAAGGTGGAAAAGCAACCCATCTTCGTTAAGAAAATAGTCATCAACTTTCAACAAAAGAGAACGCGCAGTGTTGTTGTGATCCGGGAGTTTCCATGTTTCCAGGTATTGAACAAGGTCAGAAAGATCTGGGTCGCGACATTGTAAGTCGCGCACGCGCGGTGTTTGGACGCCTGGAACATCATAAGCGGAGATGGACGGAGAAGGAAGGGTGTACGGTCGGCGGGAAAGAGTGTCGGCATTTGCATGTGCTGCTCCTGGGCGATGGCGAATTTCGAAGTCATACTGCTTAACTAAAAGTGACCATCTAGCTTATCTTCCGGAGGGGTCACAAATGGACATTAACCATTTAAGAGAATGGTGATCGGTATGTAAAACAAATTTTCGCCCATATTAATACGGTTCGAACTTCTTGATTCCAAAAATGACGGCTAGGGCTTCTCTTTCAGTGGTACTATAATTTTTCTCTGCTGAATTGAAATCTCGACCAGCGTTGGCGATAGTAACTTCGCGACCATTCTGAATCTGTCCTAAGGTTACTCCTACTCCCTCGTTAGATGCACCTGTGTACAAATGAAAGGTTTCCTTGACATCTGGAAATGCTAGGATGGGGGCACTTATAAGTGTCTCTTTTGCACAAGCATCTGTCCAGAGAAATTTGTGGTCTTTGTGCAGTAGTTGGTTTAAGGGTGACGCAATTTTGGCAAAATCCTGGATAAAGCGTCGGTAATAGTTAGCTAAACCTTAAAATGATCTCACGGTCTTAACACTGTGAGGACGTGGGAAATCTCTTACGGCTACTATTTTATCATCGTCTGGTGCTATTCCTTCAGGAGAAACAACATGCCCTAGGTATTTAACTTTTGGGCAAGCAAATTTACACTTAGAAGGTTTTAGTTTCAGGTTTGCGTGATGTAGCCGATCGAAAACTTGTCTGAGATGGCTCAAATGGTCCTCAAAGGTTTTGGAATAGACAAGAATGTCATCTAAGTAAATTAAACAGATCTTTTACGTTAAATTTCGTAAAACACACTCCATTAATCGTTGGTACGTTGACGGGGCCCCAGTTAATCCGAATGGGAGCGCTAAAAACTGGTAAAGACCACCATAAGCAATGAAAGCGGTGTGTTCACGTGACTCAGATTCCATTTCAACCTGCCAAAACCCACTCATTAAATCCATAGAACTGAAAAATTTATTACCATTGAGTGCATCTAAGGCATCATCTATTCGGGGAAGGGGATAAGAATCTTAACGTGTGACTGGATTCAACCTTCAAAAATCAATGACAAATCTATCAGTCCCGTCTTTCTTTTTGACTAGAATAATCGGGGACGAACTGGGTTGAATTATTCCCCTATTTAACATATCAGTGACAAGTTCCTCAATAATACCACGCTGAGATTCAGAGAAACGATAAGGTCGTTGTCTAATAGGTGGGTTGTCACCAGTGTCAATACGATGCTTTACTAAACCTGTGCGCCCAAGTTATTCTGGCTTTAAAGCAAAAATATCGCGATATTCAGCTATCAAAGATTTTAACTCAGAAAGTTGGCGTTCATCCAGGTTAGTCGATGTGAAGTCTAAGGGAACGGTTTCCTCATCCCCAACAGGTGGAGGGGACTGTGCAGGGGTGTCGGAAGTGGCAATAACAGACATTGATGCAGCTGAAGGGGTAAAGGTCCCTACTGCTGTACAGCGGTAAATTGTCACAGGCTTTTGAGTTGGGTTGAGAATCCGAAATGGAAAGGTATGCTGCTCTGAAAAACTTACAAGTTGGGAGGCGCCACAGACATGATAGCGGTCCATGAGTTTGGTACTGGGCTCTATTAAACCCGTCTTTCCCACTGCTAAGGAGCTCTTTGGATAAACTGGAATAACAGACTCAGACATTGGGGGCAGGATGTAAGTAGCAAGGGCATGCACAGTAACTGGTTCTTGTTCCCTTTGTTGGTCAGGTAAGGGTGGAGATGATGAATGTAAGAGTACCGAATTGGTGCCAGTAAGTGTCAAGGTATTATCTTGTAAATCAATCACTGAACCAAAGTGCATACGAACATTTCTACCCAGCACGACGGGATAGGTGAGGTTGTCAATAACAAGAGTCTCAAAAGGATATGCATTGGCACCTGTAGTTAAAGGAAGATTGACCTGACCCAAAACTGAGAGGTGACGGCTCAAGTTTAGGAGACACCGTGAACGTAGAAACAAAATTACTACTTCCCGCAGTGACTGAGGCACCGGTATCAACCAACATTAGCGTGGATCGGTCAGCGATAGAGCTATAGACATATAGACTATCTGATTGAGGGTGTACCTGTGAATCAAAGGCATTCACATGCGAGCTAATAAATGGGGGTGTTTGAGGAGGAGTGTACCACTCCTGAGGGGTGGATTCGTCAGTGTCCAATAGTTCCTGAACGGAATCAATAATAGGTGCAACCAAATTGACAGACTGGTCAAGGCCTTGTAAACCAGAGTGATTTGATTTGCGCCCTTGAAGTATCATTAATATTATATCTCGTGTAATTTCTGATTCATCATAAACTTTGCCAGAAGAGTTCTCTTCAAAACCTCATTTCGCCACAAATAGTTTCCGAATTTTTGTCTGTACGTAGCGCTTTTACTTTATTGTGCTAATTTTCATCATGCAATTCAATGTCATCATTTAAAACTGTAACTGTATTATCAATTAAATTGTGGCGCAAGTATTCATATTCTGTGTCATTCTGGAAATTTTCTTCTGGTTTATCTTGGCATGTAATATCAATTTGTTTAATATTCTCATTTTCACTTGTGCTACTGTTTTCACTGAAACTTCTGTTGAAGTGGATAATCCCAGTATTGTCAATAAGGTTGCCATGTGATTCATTTGCACTTTCTTCTATAATAACATCTCCGTTGTGAACTTCGGAATCATCAATAATATTATCACTTAATTCGTTTGCGCCGTTTTCAATAAAAACATCTTCATAGTGAACCTCATGAAATTGGGATAAATAGGAATTGGCCAATGTCTCACCCGCGGAATAATATGTACAAGATGAATACGAAGCAACTTGAGGGTCAAGCTGACTAGTACGTTGTGGATTTGCAGTTCCCAGGATAACTACATCATCCGAAATAGACAGTTGAGACTCATCGCCTTCGAAATAAATACTATCTTGTGAATAATTAAATCGTGAAATACTTACATTATCAGCGTTATACGACGCGATTTGCGGTTGTCTAAAATTGGCTCTTGCTCGAAGAAAAGAGCGACCGGCAAGAGCCCTTACTCGTTTAACTGCGAATTAGGCTGACGACTACTAGGCTGCTCTGAGAATTGAGGCTTATTAAAAAAACGCACCTGGTTTGGCGGAAGTCGGGGATCCCTACCACGCTGTTGGCAAGTTCGCCAAGTGTGTCCTACACGTTGGCAAAAAGAACAGATAGGATCTCCCTCTACTGTGCGAAAATTGCGACCATAGGAGCGAAAATCAGAGCGACGTGGATTTTGGTAACGCCTAAGTTCATTTTCCAACCAATTTATCTGCCTCTGCATCTGGTCAATTTGGCGAGTAGGCTGTCGTTGCCAATTGCGCGTTTGATTAAAACGTGGAGGAGAAGATTGTTGTTGATCATAAGCCGCTACACTGGCATAAGAAGCTGGGCGCTGCGTGGTTTGCTTCTGCAGTTGTTTAAGTTGTTTAGAAAGCTCATCAAAACGCTTATTGATTTGCGATGGCATCGGTGCGGCAGAAGCCGCCGCAATTGTTAGAGGTTTGGAAGAGACCGTTTGGGTCATTAATTTCTGGAACATTGCTTCCATTTGATTTATCACTGATTGTGTATCCGGCACACTCTGATTATTGGCCACTAATTCTTTCATACGACCTAAAGATTCTGCTTCCTGAAAGGTCGTAGGTCGAGCTAAAGTCACATAACTTTGAATGTGAGGTTGAAGACCTTGAGTAAAGGAATGCATAAAATCTGCATCCGATAATTTTAAACGCTTACACAAACGCGTAATGTCGGTAAGATAATCATTGATGCGCTCCCCCTTCGCTTGTTTCCGAGTGCTTAATTGTTGGCTAAGAATCCCATCATGCGGCCCCGAAGCAAAACACTCCTGAAAAGCTTCTTTAAGCCTACTAAAATTGTTGGCAACATCGTCGGGAAGGGAAAGAAACCAAGCATGAGCTACGCCCGATAAATACAGCGGAAAAGCACTAAGGCGATTTTTAGCGGACCAGTTATTAATTTGCGCAATGCGTAAAAAAGAATCAAACCATATCAAGGTATCTACAGCAGGATTGCCATCGAAAACATCAGGTTTTATGCCGCTTGAACTAGGTTTTTTATCAAGACGTGTCTGAATAAAGTCTAATTGTGTTCGCTAGGAGTTTGATTCCTTAGCTAAATCTTGCCTTAAGGAATTGCACATATCTTCAAACTTTTTGTCGAATTCTTTTTTTTGATCCTCATTCATTATTGTAGTTGTAGATGGAACTGATTCGCTGTGAGGGCAAGTACAAATATCAGTGGGGGTCTGCGTACCTAGTGATTTCCTTTTACTGCTTTGAGAACAAGTAACGATGTGACTTGAAGGAGCAGTTTTAGGCATGCACGTAAACTATTTCTATCGTACTTTGCTGAGGCATTACTAGATTAAGTAGCAACATATATATATATATTTTTTTGGTTTTGTGTTAAACAAAAGCTAATAATACGCTAAACTAACGATACATCCGAGATACTGGAATAATTGAATCATAATGTTCGCTTACAATTTCCTGGCTTGGGTCTTTCAGTATTCCTTTCTTTGGTTGTCCATTCCTTTTTGTGTTTCTTCGACGCACAAGCTCCTGCTTCTACTTGAATGGTCTGTAAGGAGGTTTAGAAAGTGCAAGATCTTCTTCGGGTCAACGCCCGATCAAGGTGCGGCTTTACAGCGCTGGTTCTTCTCTGCTGGGAGTTAAAACGGTGGGCTTACTTGTGGTACCCGTGGCACTCCTGCTTCGTACAGATGTTCTTTAAGCCTGTGGATAATCAGGACTAATGGCAGGCTGTTAGGTCGACGAAGAGGTCCGTTGGGCCTTTGCGGAGTACCATGACCACGACCACGACCACGACCACGACCAGACATAAAATGGTACGGGAACAAAGCGGATTTTTCCACCACTTTGTTGAAGAACCTTACTGGGGGTACTAGCAGGTTCTAACAACAAACAGACGAGTTGTTGTTCAATCGACTCTCTTTAATTCTTGAATCAGGTGATACGAAGTCAGCACAACTCGTACTTTACAATTCTCTACTAGATCAGTGTTACACACATTTTTATATCAGCCAGGAAACCAGCTGCTTAGCGCAACCCGAATGCTGACGTAAGTCTAATCTGATTGGTTAAAACAGCTTCATAACCATGAAAACTTCGAGATAATTGCTTCGTCGAAATGACTCTTAACCGAAGTTTTCACTGCTAAGCTTAAGTCAACTGGCCAATAAAAAACTAGGAGAACAATATAAAAACTACAAGGTATATACCAGTAAACAGACTTTTCATACTAACAGATAGGAAAGTACTAAAATTACAGTTTGAAAATCCAAGGTTGTTGTCAATTTACAGAAGGTGTTAAGCTTCTTCATCGAAGATGATTGGCTACAACTTTTCCATAATTTAACCACGAAGGGAGACCAGATTAAGGTCAAGGATGTCAAACTAGACAAAATACTTAATATAAACAAGGCTTTGTCATCTGCCAAAGGCTCTAATTAAACATATCTCTTAAACAGAAGTGTTACCGCGGAGATGCACCAAATTGGTACATCTCCTTTGTACCGAATTCATGTCAGGAGAAGCTTTTTATCGATCATCAATTAACTTAGAAAACCAAACCTACTAGTAGTGAAGTATCTTACTCAAACCACTCAACAAGGACGCTTACAGCAACTCCACTATAAACATATATTGTAACAATTGTCACAAGTGGCTAGTGTAACTCTTCAATCATCATTTTCCTTCCACAAGACCAAAGAGAATGAATCAACAGAAATCATTTTCTTATTTCGGGAGAGGATGTCGTTTGTTCAGTGCTGATGCATAGGAGTTAACACCAAGTAAAATGAGTCAAATTGCTTTTTATGATATTTTTCCTTAACCTATAAATATTTGCCGAAACGAATGAATTTTGCAATAAATCCCAAATACGGAATAAAACTCCTTTAATAATTTTAAGTCAAAAACGTGCGCACTGCGAATATTTTCCATCGCTTCCATTTTTATTGTTTAACAAAAGGAAGGGTTTATAATCCTTAATTTAGATAAAGTACAGAATATGTTGGAGGCACTTTATGTATTATATTTATGACAGGTTGATGTACTAGTTAAAGTTTTCCATTCTCATCAATTATTTGCCTTTATTAACAATTAAACCAGGCGATGTTCTTTACTTCAAATGTTTCTTCAAATGTGCATTCCAGCTTACATACTGCAATAGAAGAAATGATTTCTTATCTTTTATCATGTCTAGTGTTACCCAGATAACTGTGATGCTGGATAGTGTCCTTTGTTGTAAGACTGTTGCCTATTTTCTTGGAATGTCAATAACCTCATGGCCTTTGAAAAGAGTTTGCTACTTCCAAATCAACTATCACAATCAGAGTGGGTGCAAACTATATCAGCTCTTAGAAATTGCCCCGTTTGAGATAGTCATGTTTTCCGAGTGTGTTTTAGAGTTGAACAAGTAAATAATCCAACAGAGATATCACCTCATTTGGTCCCGTGGAACCTATTGTCTCCTCATAGGTCTGGTTTGACCCTTGATTCAATTTTGGCTTATCCTCCTAGGGAGAAGTTTTCCCTTCCAAGGCTATCGGGAGAGTGAATCAGTAAGCCATTTTCAAAGAGGTGCCCAGCTGTCTTCTGTGGAAAGGTGAACACTGTTCCTCAGGGTATCTTACCACAATCTGGCAAAATTGGTCAGATTGGGCATAGACTTTGGTGTCAAATCTCTCCCTCCATCACATATGATGGTGACTGCTTTTTATCGTTACTCTAAAATAGTTGGTTCCAAATTTTTTTTTTAGGTTGAGCACATGCATAGCACTTGTTTTGCTGTAAAACGTTAGTGAATACAAAAATACATTACATTAGCCTGATTTAGGCTGCCTCTCTACCCTTCCCATCTTAGCCTTTCGAAAGACATTGTTAGGTGGAGGTGATGAAGGTCGACGTTTTCTTTGTTGATTCATCTTCCTTGGAGAAAGATTCCTTGATCGCCTATTTCATGATTCGAGTAATAAATATCCAGCAGGAACAAGTTAAACATTGGCATAAGGAAAATTGGATCGGGTTGGTTAGCTTGATCGTTTGTAGCAAATATTTTGTTATATGCCAACTGACAGCTAAAGTTCCTACGTTGACCTTATGTTTGTCATCAGCTGAAATGGCTATTGTCTCATGCGAAAACATTTCCACCAGCGCTTCAACAAAATTCACTTGAGCTGAAGTGTAATGAAATTCTGGGTAAATTGTACTAGTTAGTTTAGTTAAGAAAAACCACTGCAAAAACCGTGTATGATCAATCGTGATCAGTCAAAATAGATCATATTGAAAACTTCACAGTCAAGAAGACTTTTGCAGGGACTGATCAAACAACGTGAAATACAGTTAAGTTGCGATATTTCGAGTGGCCAATACCAGTCTTCATTACTAGTTAGGTAATTTCTCATAGGTGCATTACAGCTCTTATTTGGTGGCAAAAGAAAACGGTTGTGTGGACAGAAATTTTCTTCAGAGCTGAGATTTCTCTAACAACGTGACTCTAAATGGCTGATAGTGTCACCCCATGGTTGTACTGCACATTATCGCTTTTTCGATCGTGGGTGGATATAGAATGTTGTGTGATAAAGTTCCTGACTATTTTTATGATCTCATGGTAAGCTTCTGTTGCAGATGGTCTTCTCATCTTCCTCTTTGTACCGGTCGATGGAATTACCGTCATTTCACAATGCAAAAATGTTAAATAAAAAGAGCATGTTAGCAAAATAATACTACTCCATTTTTATTCCCTCTTGCTATTAGCCGTGTTAAACACATGAACGATCTAAGTGACAATCCCTGTAACACTATAATTGATAAACTTTATACCTTATTTCCGATCATTGGTCTGGTTGGGGTGGAATAAAACAAAGTTTGATTATTGTGTGTTGAGTTAATTTTTTGGCTCTTAGTTATGGCAGAGCTTTTGTAACTCAGAATTTACTTTTCCTTTAAGTTCCTTGTGAGGGAGAATAAATTATAATTTGTACTGAGAATATTGATATGATAGAAAAGAAAAGCTATCAATTTTAATCAAATATTGGTCTGTTTGTTCCATCTTTAAAGGAAAAAAAAAAGGGTTTTTCCTCTAAAAGGGCACGTTTACGCTGTAGGTCATTAGCAATATTCACTTAAACAAAACATGATTACAGGTAGTCGTTAAAATAAACTACTTATGTTATTTTTGCAGTACTATAGGTCCCTTGTCAGAGTCAGAATGGTAACTCATATCTAGCACTTTAATCTCTTCGTTCTAATAACACACATTAAGTAGCCTGAAAAATACACGAGTAAACAGTCTATCGTGAATTAAATCCCAGTCTTTGTTTCAAAAGTTGCCTGACATTTGAAACGGGCCTAAAATTACAGATAACACCTGCTGCTGAGCAAAAATATGAAAAATATAGTAAATCGTGGAAGTTGTTGTGCATATTATTAAGTTATTTACTATTCCTTCGCCTTTTTAACTTGAAAAAAAAAAACGAAGGAAACTATAAGTGAAAAATAAAGAAAAAATACATAAACAAAAGTAAGAGGAGTGTCCAGAGGCCAGTAAGATCTTAATTTG